CCTCAAATCTCTCTCTCCCCACAATCCCTCTCCCCCAGGCCCAGGCCCTCCCCTGGGAAGCCACGCCCTTCTGCCAGCACACGAAACCCCGACTGAAGCAGTCCAGCAAGAAAACTTGGGAGCTTTCCAAAAGCATGAGGGCAGGGGGAGCAATCTTCTACACAAAAATGCACACATCCATGGACACGCACATCAATGAATACACAAACAAATCGATCTCACCCTTCTCCATGTATTCCGTGGCCTTGGCTTTGATCTCAGGAGTTGCCTGGTTGGTCGCCTCCAGGTACCGGAGTACGAAGATATTGGGAACAAACTTGACCATGTTCTGCTCCCCGCAGCCGTAGGGCATCTCAAGCAGCCGGTCTAAATTCTGCAGCGAGGCGCCCAGAATGTCACCTGAGGGTCACACAGACCAGAGGGAGGAAAGGTTCCTTCAGCTGAGGGAGCTGGAGAAGCCATCTTCTCTAACCCCTAAACCGTGGAGTCTGGTGAGCAGAAATTCTACTTTGTTGATCTAAACCCCTGGACAGAATCCAAGCAACCATCTCCCCCCCTCCCAACATCTGAGGACTTGTGGGGTGTGATCCAGTCGGACAGCGGCTGAAGTATTGTGCTTGAATTCCAAACACAACACCAGAAAAAAGGCCGGAATTTGGCAAAACATGTCGTTGTGAGCAGGGATACATCGGGGCTTGAGGGGGAGCCGGAATGCTTCTTAAGCTTCAGACAGCCCAATTCCAAGGGCCCCCCAGGAAAGGCCTCTCAGCAGCTACCCTGGTATTCTGGACCCCCTTTCCTGCCAGCCGTGGCTACTCCCCCACCCCACCCCGACAGGCTTCCCAGCATCACTGGGACACTGATTTACCCCAGAGTCACCTCACAATCCTAGGAAGAGTTGCTGAACTGAAGTCTAGGGGTTTCTACTGGAATAGCAATGCCTAGGAATGCACCATTAGCCTGTTTGTCGCTGTTTTTCTGATAATATTGTATTTTATGTGCTCTTTTTTTGTGAGCCAGAGGAGTGTGTTTGTTCTCAGAGAATAAAACCGATTTCTCTTGTTTTTCTGTCAGGAATGTGGACATGAATGGCAGTTTAGAGAGTGGCGGAAGCAAATCAGCTTATGATGACCCAAACTTCGATAAAGGCCAAGCGAGAGGGGGAAAGAGGAACAAGGGGCAAATGTGTCATAAGGAAACCACACGCACATAGCAGCCCCCCCCCCCAATCTAAAATCCCTCTACATTCCCTCCACAGAGCTGGGGAAACCAAACTGCTGAGGAGACGGCAGCCAAGGGTGGACGCTGTGGAAGGGAAGAGAGCCAAACTGCAACACAGAGAAGTCAGGTGATCGACACTGCCACGTGCCCTCGTCGTCTCACCCGTGGCCAAGGAGGGGGCTGTTAGCTTGCAACTCCCGAGCCCATTTCCTCACCAATAACGGAGAAGACGGCTCGGCCAGAGTCCTCCACGACATTCTCGGGCAGCTTGAGAGAAACTTCTTCCACCACAGCATCCCCTGAGAGGAGAAGACGGTGACCACAAGCACACAGCCCGAGTTTGCTGAGACTCAGAGTGCCCCTTGCACCTGAGGGGGCCTGAGGCGCTTCCCCCGTGTGAGGAATGGCGTCTGCTCTTGCCTCCCACCCTCCCCTCAGCAATGTTTGTGCCTTGAGTGTCGTGCCGTGACCCTGGAGTTTCGTTCCCAGAGTGGTGAAAGAGCACCATATTTACAGAAAGGCTTCACTGGTTTTCTGCTCAAGCTCAGAGGTCAGTTCAAGGCCACCTTCCCACCTGGGCCCAAGCTAGACAACCAGAGAACTGACACAGAGCCAGGTTGCTGGTGCTTCATGTCAGAAAGTGGCATGGCTTCCAGAGGAATTCCTGGGGGAGACCCCACAAGAGCTAGCTGATGGACCCACGTTCTGTATAAGGCAGCTCAACAGGGTCACAGAAATGGGCAAACGAGCTATTGTGAAGGGACCAAAAATCTATGGCTGCCACGGATAACTTTCCCCTCATCCATCTGGCTGGAAGAGTCAACTCCTCATGACCCGAATCTGGGCCAGCAAGGTACATTCCACCTCCCCAGGGCAGGACTCCTGAGCTATCCTGGTCCTACCTGAAGAGCAGAGGAATGCATTGTGGGTCTCTTCCTTGTGGACGCCTTCTGGCTGTGGGAGGAAAAAGATATTGTGGGTTCTGTCCAGCCTCCTCTGTGTGAAATGGACGCCACAGTGACACATTTAATTTGGGACACATCTACCTGAACCCCCAGACCAGAACCCACAAAACACAGTGGTTCCCTGCCAGAATGCTCAGGCACTGAGAGGAAAGAATCCCAGCAAAAGCACTTTCATGGTATTGCTGGGGATTGACAGCGGTCAGTGTTGGTGCCAAACCCCCGGGGTGACCACACTGACCTTGACCAGCAGGGGCTTGATCACGGTGTCGGAGCGGCCACGTGGGGGCGTCACGGAGATTCTGTTGCCACACAGCTCCTGTGTCTCCTGAGCCTCGGTGGTTACCGAGAGGTTGACGTGTCCTGCAGGAATGGGAAAATCCGGGGGGCTTCACTGAACAGACTCAATCGAGAGCTCAAACTGCACCTGCGCAGGTACGCAAGGGCCGATGTAATTGCTCCTGTTTGGCAGTAGGGGGTTTAGACTCCCTCTAGCACTACTACTGCCACCAAGCCTCACACCCCGTGCCACTGTTCTGCGGAACCTGGAGGAGTGTCTCCTGCCACCCCTCCTCCCCAACTTCCTCCCCAACTTGGCTGGGAAACAACCCACCTTCCCCTCCTGCCTCCACGACGGTCCTGCTCCCAGAACGGGTGTTTGGGGAAGCAAGAGGCAGAGATCACAGGGCTCCCCACCCCCGCCGCCCCACCGCTCCCAAGGGTCCGGGGCTCACCCAGCTGCGTCGCTGTCACGTTCCAAGCGAAGGTCTGAGCCTCCTCTGAGCAGAGGCAGAGGGTGAAGGGGCAGGTCGGGCAGGGCTTCACCTCGACTTGCTGCGATTCCGCCAGCCGGACGTTCACCTGGAGGCAGGGAAGGGGCCGTTCTGAGGAGGAGGCAGGGAACGAGGCCTGGGAGGCCCGGTGGGGAATGCCACCCACGGCACAGACAGGACGTCCCCCAAAGACTCGGAGGGCGGGTCTGCCAACACCCATCATTCACGGGGTTTGGAATGTCTTCCCAGGGCAGCCCGGCTGGTGCCCCTCACAGGGTGGCCTGGCATGCTGACACAACCCCCCTGGAGCCTTTGGTCCGGAATGGCCTTTAGCCGTGCTTCTGACCCCTCTCTGTGGCTCGCTGGGGCCTGACGTCTCTGGAGAAGAGCGGCCCCCCTTTCTCCCGGGAGACACAAGCTGGGGTGTAAGAGGGAGGGGCAATCCAGAGAGGCTCACGGGGATACCTCCCGCTCTCTGGTTGATGTCCCACTCGCTGGCACAGATCGCCCAATGGAATGCGAGACTCGGCCACTGTGCCGCTGCCACCTCCTGCCACCCGGTGAACTATGTGCCCAACGGTCCGAGGTGGGCTGTCCCCCCCTCCAGCCCTTGCCTTCCCCTTGGTTGGGTCCCTTCCTGGCTTGCTCCTCAGCCTCCTCTTCATCTCCCTTGGCCTGCTCCTGGCTGGGAAAGACGACCCCGACAACCCAGCAATTGAGGGGGGCCGGACTGTCTCAGGCACTAGCCACTGGGGGCCTTCCTCAAGAGGGCGGGGTAAGAGCTCAGCCGCAGAGCAGACAGATGGCGACCTTCATGGAGACTAACGTGGGAATGACTGATTCACTACAGCCCCGGAAATTTTCCAAAGGGGCGCTGACAGTGCTTCCTCCACTCCATGAGCTTCTTCTGAGAGGGCAGCGGAGAGCTAGTTTGGTGCAGTGGGAGAACCGGGTTTGATTCCCCATGCCTCCACTTGCAGCTGCTGGTGTGACCTTGGGTCAGTCACAAGTTATTTCAGAGCTGTCCTCTCAAGGGCAGTTCTTGAGAGAGCTCTCTCAGCCCCACCTGGCTCACGGGATGTCTGTTGTGGGGACAGGAAGGGAAAGGAGATTGTAAGCTGCTCCGAGACTCCCTCAGGTAGTGAAGGGCGGGGTATAAACCCAATCTCTTCTTTTCTTCTCTACCCAGCATGGGGGTCACTCACCTGGATGCAGTCCTTCAGGTAGTTGAAGACCGTGGCTTTGAGTTCAAAGGTCTCCCCACGGACTACAGAATATGGCAGCGCCAGGTCCACAAAGAAGGGCTGGAAGACCCGGAAGGTGGCCGGTTGGGCGAGGCCGAAGCCAAGATCCGCCACACAGAAAGCGTCAGCCCTCCACTCCGTGATGGTGTCTGGAGCAGTGACCGAGCGAGAGGCTTTCCCCTCCTCACTGCGGAACAGGAAAAAAGCAAACCCCTCAAGAAACACAGAAACTTAGGCCTGTTCTCAGAGGACTGGAGGCTTCCGCCCCCAAAGGAAACAGGGCGCCAGGCAGTGTTCCCTCTAAGCTGAGTTAGTGTGAGCCAGCTCACAGCTTTTTAGCCTCCGGCTCACACCTTTTTGTCTTAGTTCAGGAAGGAGGGCTCCCAGAGCCAACTAATTTATGCAGTAGCCAAATTGCTCGCTCACAACTTTAATGCCAGTAGCTCACAAAGTAGAAGTTTTGCTCACGAGACTCCACAGCTTAGAGGGAGCTTTGGCTCCAGGAAGTACAAATACAGCACAGGGAAGGCTGGGATCACAAAAGCCATTTTGCAAAGTCCAAGAACCTCCCCTGACTGTAAGTCCTCCTTGAGGGGACAGGGCAGACAAAAACTGCCATACAGATTTCCCTCCCTAAGATGCTCCTTGCCACAGAATCTACTCCCTCGAGAGTGAGGACTCGCATCGGTTCAGAGGGGGGCTGTGCTGCTCTGCAGTAGAACAGCCGGACTGGAGTCCAGGAGCATGTTAGAGAACAGCGAGATGTTCATGGCATGAGTTTTCACGAGTCAAAGCTCCCTTCATCACCAAGTTCGTACCCCAAAAATCTTGTGGGTCTCTAAGGTGCTGCTGGACTTGTATTCAGCGGGACTCATGTAGTGAGACAGGCCTTCCTAAAGGATGCTGAGATCGGCAGCCATTCTGCCTCTGGCATTCGCTCCACATTCTCAACACTGAGGGAAAGGTGCCGCTCAAAACCAGATTCAAATCCCCCAGGCCAATGCTGTACTGACTGTAAAGTCACCCCTGAACGGCCATAAAACGGCCATAAATTTATGCAGAAGTTACCATAAAACCCGATGATCAAGGGAAGCGAAAGCAGCATGCAATGCAGAGGGTACCATAAAACCCAATGACCAAAGGAAGCGAAAGCAGCATGCAATGCAGAGGGTACCATAAAACCCGATGACCAAAGGAAGTGAAAGCGGCATGCGACGCAGAGGGGAATTTCTGTTCCAACGTGGGTTTGCTAAAACAATGGAGGGAAAAGCCAACACAGAATCGCCCGGTATCCTTACACTGGGGTTCTCTGCTCAGGATGGTTCTCACTCACTTGACTGGCACCAGATCCCAGATCCAGGTCTCAGGAAAGTACGTCCTGGGTTTGGACTTCTCTTTCTCCTTCTTCGCTTCGGAGTCGAGAGCCTGGGACCCTCGGTCAGCTACGGCAACAGGTAGGGGCTCTGCGAGGACTGAGGGGAGGGGCAAAAGACACGTCAGCCAACAAGAAGACAGGTTTGCCCCGGTGCGGCCGAGTTGCAAATCCAGGCTCGTGCCAAGCCAGCGCCCCCCTCCTGTTGACGCAAGGGACAGAAGGTCAGGCGGGGGGTCTCATTGGCCTGGCAGCAGGTTAGGCGGGACGGTCGGGTGTCTCTGCGGGAATCAGAAAGTCCCCAGGAGAGGAGTCCCCGGGGGGAGGGGGAGGATGGATAAAAGGGGCCTCCATCGATCCCTCCATCGGATTCTCACCTGTGTTGCTTCTGAAAAGCATCCTCTCATACAGTGGGTGCTCACAGGAGACGGGCTTTTTAATCTTGCAGTTGGTGAAAACTTTCATTCTCAGGAGCTGTGGGAAACCAGGAGAGCAAAATCACAAGGGGTGGAGCTCGATTGAAAATGAAACCATGCATCAAATCGTGAGTTGACGTCCGGAATTGAAAGCGGCTGAGCGGTTGGGCTCCCCCCCCCTTAATAAAACGGAGAAAGGGGAAGGGAGAAGGGAAGATCCCCCCCCCACGTGAGAGACTTTTTAAAGCGTTATAGATGGGGGCAAAGCCAAAGATTGCAGAAACGCTTACCTTTTGGGGGAAGACAGAAAACAGAGGAGAGGGAGTTATCCAGGAGAGTGGCGAGAAGAACTTTCTAAGTATAAACAAACTCGAAAAATGGCGGGGAAAAGAAAGGCAGTAGAAAAGCCTCTGAAGAAGACAGGCGGGACTTCCTGTCCTAGCCCCTCCACTGTAGGAGCTGCTGCCAATCAAACAGACAGTGATCTTGCTCGCCATCTGCTGGCAGAGCTGCAAAAAATAAATCATAAGCTTGATTCCATGGAGAATGCCTTTGGTCAAAAGAAGAAGATGACAGAGACAGCTGAAAAGGTGGACGACATTGCTAAGAAATGCCTGGTATCAGCACAAGAGCTTTAGGCTGGTCCTGCACTGGGCTGGGGGTTGGACTAGATGGTCTGTAGGGCCCCTTCCCACTCTTCTACGATTCTATCCCTCCGTCTGCTGGGCGAACCGCAATGTGGCTTCAGCACATTCCACAGCAGCCGTTCAGACAGGTCCAGGCTTCCCTGGTCTCTCTCCCAGCAGGGATCACCAGCCAGGGAAGACCAAGGCCGTTGCAGTTCTAAAACCACGCTGGAAACCAAACTGAAAGGGGTTTAGATCAGGGGTCCGCAACATGGTGCCCGTGGTGATCTGGAGATTCGATTGGTTGTGCAGATTTTTCAAAGCCTGGCTTTGGCAGCAGCTGCCGCCACCACACAAGGATCGTCCCTGTGTGACGGAAGATAAGCCATGGCAGCCATTTTGTAGATGGCTCCGCCTCCTGCAGCAGACATTGTGAGGCACCAGTTCTGTGGCTGCGCCCACCACACCGTGTCAGAGTTCCAAGGGGTGCCCACAGGCTCGAAAAGTCTGTCTTGTCTGGTCTAGATAATCCATCTCATTACACTTACACACACACACACACACACACACACGCACAAAAGACCGACAGAGCACAGAGACCTGTGTGGTAGGCTCAGAGCGCTCTGCTCCCAGCGTCACTCCATCCATGCCACATCATGGCAGAGCTAAACGTAACTGGATGATTGTGTGGGAGGAGCCCCACAGAGGCCGTTTCCAGTGCCAGAAGAGCATTCTGGGTAACGTCTCCTTAGCTTCTGTGTTTCCACACCACTGGTCTAGGATAACAGGAGGGCGTGTACTCGTGTCATTCTGACTGCTACATCTCGGGGTTCTTGCTCTAGATACCACAAATGCATAGAAATCCTGCTAGGGCTTATTTTTTGGGTAGGTCTTATTTTCGGGGAAACAGGGTACATCTCGGGGTTCTTGCTATAGACAGGGCAGAGGGGACAAGGCAGTTAAAATGGAAAGGTCAAAGGCAAACACCCTTTGGCAAAAGGACCTGAAGGAGACGGAGGCACTCTGGGCTAGGAGAAAGGCACACCAGGGTCCTGAGATCTTTCCTGCCTTGGATGGTTACCCAGCTTCGCGGCTTGGGAGTGCTACTTGACACAGCAGTCCCCTTGGAAAAGCTGGTGGCTGCGGTGGCCTGGAGAGCTTTTGCCCAGCTTCGGCTGGTGCATCAACTGCGTCTGATCCTGGGTCAGTCAGATCTAGCCACAGTGATCCCTGGCTTAGTTACATCTAGACTGGACTACTGCAACACACTCTTCAAGGGCTGCCCTTGGAGACGTCTGGAAGATGCAGCTAGTGCACAGTATGGCTAGACTGCAGGCCGAGGCCAGCTATTGGAAGCCTGTGACCCCAAGACTACAGCTATTACACGGGCTACCGATCCACTCCTGAGCCCAATTCATGGTGCTGGTCTTGTCCTTTAAGCAGAATCGACACGTGCAGGAATAGTGTTGCCAGGTCCTACCTTGTCGCCGGTGGGGGGATTTGGGGGGTGTTCCTGGAGGGGGTGGCGATGCTTTGCTTTGAGGGCAAAACTCTATGGTTTGAGGCCAAATTTACTGTTGTGTACTGAGCCTAACCTCGTTAGACCCAGCTTGGGGAGAAGAAGAAGAGAAGCGATTGGATTTAATACCCCGCCCTTGACTACCCAAAGGTGTCTCAGAGCGGCTTACAAACTCCTTTCCCTTCCCCTCCCCACAACAGACACCCTATGAGGTAGGCGGGGCTGAGAGAGCTCTTTCAAGGACTGCCCATTCAAAGACAGCTCCGTCGGGCCTGTGCCCATGATGGACTGGGAGCTCGTCACGCCTGGGTGCCCAGCTGGGAGGAGAAGGGGCTGTGTGCAGGGCGCGGCGCTTTCCTCCCCCACCACCTTCTTTCTCGGCCTCTCCTGCCAGCCGGGAGGACCGGCAGGCGGGGCCCCTTCTCTCCTGCCCGGCAGCGGTGGGGGGAGGGAGGAGGGCCGGAGGGAATCCCCGCGCGCGGGGCTGGGCTCCAGCGCTCCACCTCCTTCTCCTCCTCCCCGAAGGCTTAAAGGGCCAGGCGAGATCCCGGTGGAGCAGCTGGTGCGCGCAGGCGGCGCTTCTGCTTCTAGTGGTCGGCGCCGTGGAGGGGGTCCCCCGGGAGCGAGTCGTTCGCCCAGGCGGGAAGCGGCTCCGGGGCTGATCGGAGTTCCCCTCTCTTGCCCGGCTGCAACGGGGGGAGGAGGAGGAGGGGCGCGCTGGACGGGCAGACCCAGACCCCCCACACACACACACACACCGCCCGCCACGGGGAAAGGACGCCCAGAGCGCATCTCCAGGCCCCGCCGGTAGGTTGGCATCTGCGCTCGCCTAGAGCGCAGGACACCCTCGGGCCGGCCCTGGAGCAGACGCCACTCACCTTGAAGAGACTGTAGACGTCTGCCTCGCTTTGATACCAGGGAGCCAGCCCCAGGGACCGCTTGCGCCTCGGATGGGGGCCCGGGCGAAGGAGACACGGGTACGGCTCGAAGTCTTCCAAGCGGTAACTGAACCCTCTTCCTGAGACTGTATCTTCGCCATAGAATTGACGGGATCCGAACAGCTGGAAAGAGAGACTGCTGAAGCCGGCCGCAGATAGAAAGCTCAGATCCCCCACTTCTTGTCTCCAGCAGGCATCAGTCTCTCTGAGTTACCGGCCGGAACCTGGGGCTGGGGCTCAGTGCTAGAGCCTCTGCTTGGCAGGCAGAAGGTCCCAGGTTCAACTGTGCTTGTTCGTTGTGCCAAATAAAACCAGCTGCTACTTCAATCAACTTCTTTCCCATGTTTGAAACTCCAAATCCTGTGGGAAACTATTTAAAATGCAGGATCCCAGGACATAGAATGTAGGTGAATTGTATTTATTTATTTATTTATTTATTGCCTGCCTTTATATCCCACCCTCTCCCATGATGGGCTCAGGGCGGCTCACAACAGAGGTTAAAACAATAAATATATGATTAAAATTGATTAAATAAAAACAGGATGGCAGCAAAAAAGTAACATCAGTCCAGAGCAGCCTAATACACTTCCTGTCAGGTGTTAGTAGGATGAAGAAGAAGAGAAGAGAAGAGACTGGATTCATACCCTGCCCTTCACTACCCAAAGGCGTCTCAGAGCGGCTTACAACCTCCTTTCCCTTCCCCTCCCCACAACAGACACCCTGCGAGGTGGGTGGGGCTGAGAGAACTCTGACACAAACTGCTCTTTTTCAAGGACAGCTCTGACAGAACTACGGCTTGCCCAAGGTCATCCAGCTGCTGCAAGTGGAGGAGTGGGGGATCAAACCCGGTTCTCCCAGATGAGAGTCTGCACACTTAACCACTACACCAAACTCCAAACCAAAGGATAGTAGGCATCTGTAGGCCTACTATGAGCAGGGGAGGCCAGGATGGTAAAACAAAATAAATCCATAACGTGGTCTGGAGTCCTCAAGAGTCTCAATGTCCTTGAGCACCAAGCGTATTTCTGGGGTGGTTAAATTCCGAATAAATGGGGATTTCTTTTTAATGGGGACAGGTAGTCCAGTGCTGGAATCATTAAATAATAGTTTAAACTTAAGCATTCTAATAAGTTTGAAGACATCTATAGGCAGGGGTTATTTCATAGAAAAAGAGCTGCAGGAGGTCATTAAAATACCTAATAAGCTATTAGCATAATAGTTTATTAGCATATGCCCCCTGACATCACCGGAAGTGATGTCAGAAGGGGAAGCAAAAGGGGGGGAGGCATCTTCAAAAGCCTCCCCTTCCCTTCCCCAGCACTTGAAACCCCTTCTTTCTTGGCTTCCCCCCCACCCGCCTTGGCAGCCCGGCTGGGTAAGGGGAGGCTTTTGAAGACCCCCCCCCTTTTGCTTCCTCAGACAGCCTGCCAACGTGGGCGGGGAGACTGAAGGAGCTTGGGGGCGGGGGCAGGAAGCTGGGGGTGGGGCTTGCCGCCACCGGGGCTGTCGGAGCAATGCTCCGGTGTGCTCCAGCCCCAAATGACCCCTGTCTATAGGGGTTTTAATAGGGTCTTATTTGGGAGCAGGCACAAAGCCAAGGCCAAGGTTTAAAAGGCGGGCTTCCTGTGCAGTTAATGTCCTGGAAGAGAGATTAACAATTAAATCAGATTTTATTTTTTCTTGCCCTAACAAGGAGGCCGCTGTTTGTAAAAAGTTCTGGTTAGCTGCATGCTTAGTTCGTCTAAATAGACTTGGTATGTAGGGAGGACCCTCCTCTCCAGCTGTAGTGGCAGAGTCCTCTGCCTCAGTGGTATCATAATCTGAGGCTCCACTAAACCCATCAGCCCAAGAAACTGCCACCTCAACCAAAGGCCTGGCAAAACAACTCCTCTTTACAGGCCCTGAGGGATTGTAGCAAGTCCCACAGGGCCCTGATCTCAATTGGGAGTGTGTTGCACCAGGCGGGGGCCAGGGCAGAGAAGGCCCTGGCCCTGGTTGAGGCGAAGCGGACATCCTCCGGGCCAGGCTGTCCTTCATGTGTGATATCCTGCGGACCTGGGAAGAGGATGGGGGAAGGAAGAAAGAGCCAACTGCCTGGGAGGCTGCTTTCGGGGCAACGTGTCTAATACAGCTTCCTTAGAGCTATCCACAGTCTGGAGGACGAAAGGGAATGTTCTGAAGAAATGCGATCCTTCCTCCAGCTTATGCTCCTCTGAAGTTTTAAGGGTTTCCCCAGTCATGTCAGTGGAGTGTGCTGCTGCAGGGAGGAAGGAAAGCTCGCTGCAGAGTCTTTGGAAAGGGACTGAAAATGAAATGGCCAGAGACGTGATGCCTTTTATGGACAACTACGATGTGATCCATCCAGTCTTAGCCTACTGTTTCAAACAGCCAGCTGGCTGCCCTGGAAGGACAAACAAACAGGGCACATAGGCCAAGGCCCTTCCCTAATGTTACCACCTGGCACTGGGATTCAGAGACCGACCATCTCCGAACGTGCAGGTTCCTGTTAGTCACCGTGGTTAGTGGCCGCTGATAGACCTCTCCTCCCTGCATCTGTCTAATTCCCCTTTAAAACTGTCTACGCCTGTGGCCATCACTACATCTGCCGGGAGCAAGTTCCATGTCATATTTTTTGTTTTTCCCCACTCCTTTTTATTTAGTATCGTACAAGTTGCAAAACAGAAGAAAAAAAAGAAGTGACGGTATACTATATCATAGCATCCGATCTGTTAATAACAGGGGACCATAACACAATGACCTGTCTGTAATGAGGGAAGGTTCATCAAAACACAGTTGTCTTTCATTTTATCCAACCGTTCTAAAAAGTCAGGTGATAACATTCTGCTTCCATTATCTGGCAGTCTAATCATCGTAATAAATTTTAAAGAAGGAACCTGGATTTTTTTTGGAGGTAACATAGAGATGTGATTTAATAACAGAGTGTCAGTTCTTAAAGGAATGTCTATGCCTAAACCAAACTTCATTTTTTTCCAACTATCATTTGACAGTACTTTACCGCATGAGGACAATGCCACCACATGTGAATGAAGTTACCCTCTTTAGTGCACTTCCCCTTTCTGCAGTGTCCTTTTTGAGATATGGTGACCAGAACTGCATGCAGTATTCCAGATGGGGCCATACCATAGATCCATTTAGAGGCACTACAGTATGGGCACTTTTATTTTCTGTCTGTTTCCTAATCATTCCTAGTGTGAAGTTTTATAGTACCCTCTACACTGCTTTCACTTTCTTTGATCATTGGTTTTTATGGTACCTTCTGCATAGATTCATGGCCATTTGTGGCCATTCAGGAGTGCAGGAGTGACTTTGCGGTCAGTACGTTGTTACCTTCCGGGGTATCTGAATGTGGTTTTCAGCTGCACCTTTCGTAAAACACCAGTAGGAAAAGCCAATGCAGAATCGCCCGCAGTCTGTCGTTGTTTTCACCATCCTGAATAATTTGGTATTATCTGCCAGCTACACTGCTCACCCTCAATTCCAAATAAATTACCAAAAAATTAAATAGCACCGGTCCTAATAACTATCCTTGAAGGACTCCATGGCTGACTTCCCTCCATTACAAGAACTGTCCATCAATGCTCCCTCTAAGCTGTGGAGTCTTGTGAACAAAAATTCTACTTTGTGAGTGACTGGCATTACTGAGCGAGCGATTTTGGCTGCTTGCATAAATTAGTTTGCTCTGGAGAGCCATCCTTCCTGAGCTAAGACAAAAATGTGAGAGCCGGAGGCTAAAAAACGGTGAGCTAGCTCACACTAACTCAGCTTAGAGGGAACACTGCTGTCCATGTGTTCCTGCCCTCTGCTTCCTATCATTTAACCATAAGAAGACTCATCCGCTTATGCCATGATAGCTAAGATTACTCCGGAGTCTGTGGTGAAGCACTTTGTCACAAGGCTTTTGGAAGTCCAGGTATAAAATCTGTCATTTCTGAATATTGTTGTTGCTAATGATGATGACTGGGAAGAGGGCAGACTTCAGATGCTTGGAATCCACCGGGAAGCCAATAAAATCAGTAAAACTTTGTCTGCAGTCAACAGGCAGCCGGAGGAATCCATTCAGACACGATCGGAAGAATGGGCTTTCTCACCTGTTGTAGGTCCATTAGTTTATTTATCTCTCCCTTCAATGTGACACTCTTGTCCAGAGCTCGAAGAGAACACAGTGCTCCAGGGGCGGCTTCTACTTGCAGGCTGACCTCCGATCCTGGAACATCCTCCTCCTTAGAGAAGCCAACTGACACCTGTGAACGCAGAAAGATGAGAGCATGGCGATAAGATGGGAAAGGATAACGGATGATATGGGTAGGTGGAAAGGTGGAACTGAAGGGGAAAGAAGAAGGGTGTCAGACTCCGGCTAACTGACAGCTGTACTGGTCAATGTATTGCAATTGATGACTCCATCTGTTCTATGTTTTTCTGTCTCCCCTCCGCCCTCGCTGACATTCCTACGGGTGGGGGAAGGTGTGAATGCAGATGTGTGAATGAGGGGGTAGAATAGATGCCTTTGCTTTGTAACATCTTTCTCATAACAAGTGTACTTCTAGGAGGGCCTGCGCTCAGCAGGACGTCCTTGAAGTTTTTAGATAACAACTTTCACAGGCCTAGTTGAGTAGATGCAACTGTGAGAAGAAAGGGGTGTGTGAATGATGTATCTATGGGATGAAACTTGTGACTATACCTGAAGTCACTTTCGCTTTCTGCTTTAGTCTTCGCAAGGAGCTAATCCTTGCTACTACCCTCTTTCCAATAAAACCTTTCTTAAAAGAGCTGTGGACTGAGAGTGGAATTGCTGGGATCCTGACAAATGGCAGCGGGACTCTTGGAAACAGGAAAAGGAGGAGCCATAGTTTCGCAGCGGAACGCAAGGTCCCAACCACTCGGAGCTCCAAGATGAGGCACCCACCTGATGCTGGAGACACATCTCGATGGTGAACACATCCACATCGGCCGACACCTCGCCATCAGCGAACACGGCATACAGGAGAAGCCTGGCAGTGGGCGCCAGACCCATGCTCACGGGCAGAGAGAGGGAGAAGGTGCCCTTCAGTGCTGCAGGGAGGGGCGGGGTGGCCGGGAGGAAAAGACAGAAGTGCACACACCATGATGGAACACAAATATCTGTGGGTCTTGCTCCTTCCAGATCATGGCAAAGCGAAGCAGAGTCAAGGGACTCCCCTCTTGCCTCTAAACACAGCCCTTGCAGAGGTCTTTCAAACGCTATCGACTGGATTTGACCGACAGTGAGCGTAACACTGAGATGGACCTTCCCCACCAAACTCCTCTACTGCCCCCCCACAGTTAATGCATAATGGCAGAGACCATTCTAAGCCAAAAGCCCCAATGAAGGAAGGAGGGTAGGGCTGGAGGATCAGGCAGAATTGGGCAGGGAAGATCTGCCTCTGTGCCAGGCCCACAGCTACCATGGGGCCCATGGGCCTGGCCCCCTAGGGGGTTTTATGGGCCCCTCCCCAAGCAATGGCTCCCCTTCCTCCCCAGGCCACCTCACCTCGATTGCCTGTCAGCAGGGAGGATGAGGGCAGCACAAGCAGTCACCCGGGGGAACTGCGATCCCCCGTGATCCCCCCCCCCGAAATGACCTCTGGTCTTGCTCCTTCCAGATCATGACAAAGCGAAGCAGAGTCAAGGGACTCCTCTCTTGCCTCTGAACACAGCCCTTGGAGAGGTCTTCCAAACGCTATCGACTGGATTTGACCGACAGTGAGCGTAACACTGAGGTGGACCTTCCCCACCAAACTCCTCTATTGCCCCCCCCACACAGTTAATGCATAATGGCAGAGACCATTCTAAGCCAAAAGCCCCAATGAAGGAAGGAGGGTCGGGCTGGGGGATCAGGCAGAATTGGGCAGGGAAGATCTGCCTCTGTGCCAGGCCCACAGCTACCATGGGGCCCATGGGCCTGGCCCCCTAGGGGGTTTTATGGGCCCCTCCCCAAGCAATGGCTCCCCTTCCTCCCCAGGCCACCTCACCTCGATTGCCTGTCAGCAGGGAGGATGAGGGCAGCACAAGCAGTAACGGCGAGGCAGGACTCAGGAGAACGGCCCAGGCAAGCAGCAAACGTGAATGGTACAAGGAGAAGCCTCCATCTCAGGCCTCCATCAGGTGCTCGCTGTGCTGCCCGCCAGCAGCAGATAAGCCCAACCAGGCCAGGCAGGGAGGCAATGCACTCCATTGTGCCAGCAAGCCCACACACCTCGGCTCTGTGGCCAGGCCAGCCACTGTGCACCTCACCTCTCCCAGCCTCGGAAGGGAGCTGCGGGTGGACGTCAGGCTGCCCCTTGTGCGGAAGAGGAACTGGGGCTCCTTGGGGGGGGGAGCCAGATGCTCTGCAGGGAAGGCCTGCCCTTGCCAAGGGGGGTGGGGGTGGAGGGAAGCTACGGCTGCTGGGCATTACCCCCCTTGCCCTGGAGCCTGGGGGGTACAGGAGTTCTAAGGAATCCCACCGATTAAATCAAAGTTAATTTAATTTACTTTGTTTTAATTGGCTACTGTCCCTCAAAGGCCCCCTCCCCAAAAATCCCTAGCTACGGGGCTGCTCTGTGCACCCCTTATCCTAACAGATGGTAGGATTCCATCCCATGTTTTGAAACTAGTAATTTCACACTCGTGAAGGACAAATTGTACCCTGTGTCTACGGAGAGCTTTCAAAATGAATATATACCATCAACCCAATATCACAATGGGGAGTTTGAGTAAACAGGATCGCCAGCTCTTGATTGGCAGATTCCTGGAGATTTGGGGATGGAGCCTGTGGAGACTGGGATTGGGGAAAGGGAGGGACCTCAGGGGGCATCCTGCCACAGAGCCCACCCCACCCCCCAATGCAGCCATTTGCTCCAAGGGAACTTATCCCTATAGTCTGGAGAGCGGTTGTAATCCCACGGGATCTCCAGGCCCCACCTGGAAGTTGGCAACCCCCCTATGAGGTAGGCGATATGTTTAAGGGAGTGCCAAATATGAGAAATTATTAGGTTGGGTACAGTGTCCGGGGAAGAAAAATCAAAAGTAAAATATTGAGAAGTCAAATACTAGAAGTAAAATAAAGGATTCGAAACGTGGAGTTCCTACTGGCTGATTACTGGGAGTTCCTTGGCTATTCTGGAGATGGGTTGACTGGGTAAGTTAGAGGCTTCCTCAGGAGGTCGACTCCGAAGTCTCCAGGTGGGGTCTGGAGATCTCCCGGAATTACATCTGATCCCCAGACTAGGGATCAGTTTCTGTGGAAATAATGGCTGCTTTGGAGGGTGGGTTCTATTATAACCTGCTGAGTTCCTTCCCTTCCCCAAACCACGCCCATCACAGACTCCACACCCCAAATCTCCAGGAATTTCCCAACCTGGAGTTGGCAACCCTGTCAACAGGCAGCAGGCTAGTGGGTATGGCTTTACTACTTTTACGGTTATTAGGAGAACAGATTGGTGTTATACCCACCCTTCACTATCCAAAGGAGTCTCAGAGCAGCTTACAATCTCCTTTCCCTTCCCTTTCCCACAACAGACACCTTGTGAGGGAGGTGGGGCTGAGAGAGCTCTTTCGAGAACTGCCCGTGAGAGAACAGCTCAGAAAGAACTTGTGACTGACCCAAGGTCACACCAGCAGTTGCATGTGGAGGAGTGGGGGATCAAACCCGGTTCTCCCAGATTAGGGTCCGTGCTCCTAACCACTACACCGAACTTATGTATTCTGTATTCTGTTTTTATTGAAAGCTGCCTTTGAGGTGATGACCCAAATTCAAAGGTAAAATCAAATAAATAATATACAACATAACCTCCCAATTAGACGGTTCAGGGTCTTGCCCAGCCTACAGGCAGACCGACCAAGCTAGACCGGTCTGCCCTGACCTACTATTTTTCTCGGATGATGGAACACCATGGTTCTCCGACTTACTTTCACCCTGGCCAATCGGCACCTGTTTCTGCCCACTGGAAACAATCCTTCCCTTTGAGACAACCTGCAGAGAGATAAATGTTAGGCATGGAGCAGATGGGCAGTTCCTTGGCACTTCAGGAA